GAAACAATTCAGGACGATATTGCTGAACTATTAATTGCTGTCCGTGGTGCCGTATTTCTTTTAATTTCAAATTTCCTACAAAGATGCCTTTGACAACGAATAAGACTAGGTCTTATGAGTGCATTTATTCTGAGGCACTATCGATTCGCTTTTGGTACAGCTTATACTCTATCTATATCTGAGGCTTCTGTCTGTACCTTTAGAAAGGGACCCTGACGCATCCCAAAAAATCCGTGCTAGCCGCCCAGATCGTTTTTTTTTCTCTTACTATTTATATAGTTAATTCACATAGTAGTCATTTTTAATAGATTAAAGGATAGCCTAACTCAACGGCTACAATCAAAAGTTCATATTTCCGTCTAAAGCTCGCTATTACTATTGGGCTAGCACTCATCTTTTCATTAGGTACTAGGCTAGGACTTGCCACCAGTGCCTGATTATTGCTAGCTCCCTCGAAAAATTAGGAGTGTTAATACCAGAGAAATATTTAATTAGAATTCTTATGGATGTGGATTCAAGAAAGCCAATAAGGGAACGATGTGCTTATCATTAAGTATTGTCTTGGTTCTCATGGCATCTTTTTATTGGATCTCTAGTGTTGAGCAGATCGAGCAGTTTAACCATATTCTCTTCACTATCACTGCAGAGGTTGCCCTGAAATAAAAAGTATACATTGTTATCATTGTTGCTAATATCATCATGCAATTTGTGAGTAATGTTTTCACTATTATCTTTTTTTCGGTCAATTTCTTCAGGACATTTTATGTATATATGAATCTTAGATGCAGATATGAAGGTCAATATAGTATGGCCTTAAATATAAAGCTTTTCACCTTTTTCTTGTTAATGCTGCCTACTAAAAAGAATATAGAATAAGAAATGGTCAACTCCTTTGCTCATTAATCTCTTATTTCCCTTAAAGTTTATATCTTTCTTGGTCTTAAGAAGAAAACCTATTTTATCGTTGCATAGGTAAATGCATTTAAAAGGTTTAGCTTTTTCACCACTTCCTTGCCTGAACGCGCTATATCATATCCGGATGGCAAACGAAGATATTTAACAAGCTGTCAGCAATAGCTCTTTAAAAACGAGTTAATTGGGCCCCGATAGCGTTGTAATGTATTGGGATACGGCTTCCAAACTTATTAACTATAGTTAGAGGGACCTTCATTTTGAGTAAAAGTGCATGAAGAAGTGATTCGTTGGTCGATCTCACCAGATAAGGTCGGATGAAAATCTTAGTGCAGCCGTTTGGCTTTTATACGATATTCATGTTGACGCAGTCCACGAGACTTCCTCTTTAGTT